CACTTCTATACATCTGCCCATTCCATCACTGGGGTTGATGCTTTTTGATATAGTACCACCAACTACAGCCAAAATTGCTACACCATATGGACAAGCTTTGATTTCATTTAGGGTTCTAATTTCTAGCAAATCAACTCTGTCCTCGTATTCCTTTAGCACACCTTTAATGTTATATGTTCTCCATGCCTCATAGACCTTATCTTCATAGTCAAATGAAGAGAAGAATACAACTATTCCTTTATTAACTACAGTCACCAAATTCCAAAGCATTATATCACCTAACTCCTCAATCTGCAGCACTCCCAAAACACGTGACAAAGAATAACCTTCAGCACTCAAATGATTAACTAAAATATGGTTATTTGAAAGAACAATATACATAACAAGAAAACAGAAACAGGTCCAGAAAATCACGATTAATCCACAAGGCTTTCAATAAATTACACCAATATGAAAACATGATTTACAAAATCAATATGAACTAATCAAATTTCAGCACATTTACAACAAATACAATATAGCAAGATCTCATCAAAATTGGGAGCACGTTAGCCAAATGACTAACCAACTTTGATGAGTCTGCATAGCTGATATATAATGGTAGGCCAAATGCTTCACTTGATATAGCAACTGTTAGGATATTCTCAAGAAGGAAGGTATGATCATATGAAAAGAATTGCGAACTCTCCTCTATTGGTTGTAAAGTTCCTCCAACCAAGACAAATGCAATAGCTTGATTTATGATCTACAAAATATAAGAAAATCTTCATAAGATAATACAACTAAAAATGTCCAAAAACCATGGTGATTGTAAATGTATTATTATTCTTGATTAAGCAATTGTTGATGAAGATTATAAAGATTGGGGACTAAAAAGTGAATGTCCCAAAAACATTCACTACAAGAAAATAACCTTTTCGTAGCGATTATTTTAACCTTTAGTATCGATTGTAATTGCAACAAAAAACTTTCCCAACGAATGGTCATTCGATACAATATCCCCCGTTGCCTTAGCCTTTAGTAGTGGTTTTCAATATCGCCGGGGTTGGCCTCAATAATCGATATGAAAACTATATCCAATCGTGGTGATTATTGTAGCGATTATATATAATCGCTATAAATGTTTACAAGATTCGAACATGCAACCTCAAACTCTTATATTAAATGTTTCACCAATAAACTATGACATATTTTATGTATTAATTGTCAAACAATATTTATATATCTAATTTAGAAAAGGCTTTTTGTATCAATTTTTGGGATTTAGTGGCGATTGTAAATGATACGATTTCTCATAATTTTATAAATGTGCAAAAATAGTGTGGATATGTATTATTATGTTTTCCGTATCGATTTTATATGGGAAAACCATGGCGATTGTAAAATGATACGATATCCTTAATTATTTCACAAACATACTTGCATATTGTAGCGAATGTACAATCGCTATAAATTAATCGCTACAAAAAGACAATTTTCCTGTAGTGATTAAAATTTCTTGTATTCAACTTACGTCCAATTCTCCTAATTGCCATTAAACATGGGCATCGTGTCGTGCTGGGCCGCAGAGGGCCGTGCTTGACCGTGCCTGGGTGGGGCTCGTGTCGTGCCTGCTTCTCGACGGGTCGTGCCGTGCCGTGCCAAGTTTTGGCACACCCCAACCCGCGGCACGACACGACTCACGTGCCTGGAAGGCCGTGCTGGCCCATTTTTTTAAATGTATATGTATGTATAAAAAGATATATATATATATATGAACTAGTGACGGATCTAAGGGGTACATAGAGTTACAAATGTACCCCCATTCTGCGAAAAAAAAAAACTGATACAGGTCTCTTAGATACTGTTACCTACCACAACAACCTAATAAGCGCCTTTTTGTTATACAAGTATTAAGTTTTAAGAGACCGTCTATTTTAAAACTGGTCTCAGGCGGTCTCTTAGATAATATATATTCCATTGTAGTGCTATTGAACAAAGAGACCTGTTGTTATAATAACAGGTCTCTTAGGTGATATTGTTTATTTTTCCACTTCGTACTTTTGATCAAAGAGGTCTATTTTTACCATAATAAGTTGGTTAGACCATCTCTTTTTAAAAAGATATTTATTTCGTTACACAATTATAAGCCTTGTTTTCGGAAGAAGGGTGCATAGTACACGCAAATACTAATACAATAGTTAAATGGTTTATTAACTCAAAATTTAGTTAAAAAAAAATCATTACGCTTTACATGTTACTTTGTATTTTGTAAATTTTTTTATTAAACTTAATTTCGTACCCCATTACCCAAATCCTGGATCTGCCACTGTTTTGAACAACTTTAAATTTGAGTTTATATAAATAATTTTATTAATTTATGTTTTTGTATTATTATATTACTTTGTATTATTTAGCAAAAAACAACAATGCATATAATTAAAAAAAAATTATGAGTGCGATAAGCCGATAATACAAAAATTGATGAATAACTTACTTTATTATATGCCGATATGATAAATCGATAATACAATAATTTATAATTATAATTAAAAATCGTACAATAAATAAATGTATTTACCTTAAATAAATAAATCCACCAACAATAGCCAAAGGTGGAATTATTAGTTTCAATTTTTCCTTATAGTTTTTCCTCCTTATTTCTTCCAAGTCTTCCCTTTATTTACAATAAATAAATGTACTCATATTATTATGTAAATAAAATAAATAAATTAATAATTAAATAGTTGTGTCTTGTGTGTGTTTAAGGTAATATTATGAAAAAATAAACTAGCTTAGTCATTGCCTTATTAAATGAAATTGAAAAAATACGTCTTCACTCATGAGTCATGACATAGATGTTGACCATAACAGTCATCATACAAGTTGATAACAACAATGTTACAAACTGAAAAGAAAAACAGTAGCATTGCTGGTTGATTTTCCCTGAATTTGTGACTTTATGAATTAAACTAATATATAGTTTTTTTTTTTTTTTTTTTGTTTTTTTTTTTCCCCGGAAATATCAATCTTTTAATAATGTCCACTTTCCAAAACAAACATTTGCCAAAGTGATGATGAGGGAAATTTTGATGAAACATTAGAATAATTTTAACAAATTAAAACTTATTTTAGTTGTAAATAATACTTGGGTTACTCTTATCAAAACTTATTAAATCTAAACTGAACTTATCTGAAATTAACTGAATTATCTGAACATATCACACTTGAAATAAATGAAAATAAGGTGAACATAACATACCCTAAATTCTTAAAACATGATATTTCATTGATGATTTACTTAACAAAACATTGATTTATGAAAATGTCTATGATTAATAATGAATATGTTTGAATATATCGTATTATAAAAAAAATTAAAAGGAAAAAAAATTACGTTGATTAAACCCATTTCTTTTCACTTCACCTCGGCCCTCCGCCACGGCCACCTGCGCAAACCTCCTAACAACCCTAAGAGAAATTCCAACGACAAGCTAATTTGATAATTAGCTTGGCATGCCACTGCACATAAGCTTTTAATTAAGCTAATTGTCATTGTAGCTATTTGAACTCCAATAGCTAGCTATTAGCTTACAATTTAAATCCTTAATTAACTTTTTATATTCTTTTTGTTGATTTTATTTTTTATTTTTTTTGGTAAGTTTTTCTCCAAGCTAATTGCATTTTCTACCTCTAATGGTCAAGCTAAGCTAATAAATAAGGATTATTTAATGTTGTAAGCGAGTCCCTAGCTACAACCATTGGAGTTGCTCTAACAAAGTTTTTCAAAATCGTAATTAAAAAGGAAAATTTTATTTAATGAAAATCTCACATTCTTTGAAATAATTAATACATTCGTTACAATTTTATGATCATTTGAATACACGATAATCAGCATGCTGAAAGAACTTTCTTCCAAAATTAGACCACTAAAATACTTAATTGGAAAGTAACTTAAGTAAATTACTACCTCTGTTAATGGTTATCTGCAAATTTAGGGTATTATTTGTGAGATATAAAAAATTCCAAAGTTGCAGATAATTATTAACGGAGGTTGTACCATTATTGATCGATGATTTTTTTTTTTTTTTACTTATTTTTCATACCATTAAAGACATGACAACCTTCATCATTTTACAATCCACCTCTTACATATCATGCATATATATTGGTAATAAGAATTATGGTAAAAAAACCCTACATTAATGAAACCCAAGCTAATTAGTCTTTTCTCTCCACCTAGCCCCCTTCGCCGGCACCATGTTCCCCGTGTATGCATGTAACGACCTAACAACCCTAACAAATGTTTTTCAAAACTGCAAAGAAAGGAGAAAAATCTAAATTATTTAATGGCTTTAATTTGCATAAATAGAGGTAATTAATACACTCGTTATATTTTTATATATAACCGTCTGAAAATACCATGATCAGCATGTTGATGAAAGAGTTTTCTTCTAAGGGTTTGTTCTCTTCAACTTATTTTCATTTCGATTCAGTTCAATTTAGTTCAATTCGGTTTAATTTAGTTCTTAATTCCCTTAACTCATAAAATATTCAGTATAGTTCAGTTCCAATAATTTCAGTTTAGCTCAGTTCAGTAAAGCAATACAGGCCCTAAAAGTATACAACCAATAAAAGACTTAACAAGAAAGCAATTAATATAACTTACCAATAATTAATGTATTTTTTCATTGACATCCCATACAATGAAAAACGTGACATCCTTTAATTTATTCGACAACTAGCTTTTCACACACACCCCTTTTACATACCTATCATGCATGTAATTATGTAAGATGGTAATAATTATTCTCCAAATACTTGACATTATTGTCATCAATCCCATTCACAACAAACAAAATCAAGTATTACCTTGGTTTCTTTTTAGTTGCAATAAAGTGATATTATTTATGAGAAGTAAATCAAGATGGACTAATAAATTAATTGATCCCATTTGTTTTACCCCTCCCATTTCTACCCCATATAAACGATATGTCATGTGAGTGAGTATGATATAATCTCATCTCACATGAAATAAACATTCCTCTATTCCCCAAATTTTCATTATAAATAGACCCTTAATTGACACCCATTATATTTCACTCTACACTCTCATTCTCTCTCTAAAGAGTGGAAATCAATCAAAGCAACTCCCGCTCAACTCAACCATTCCCTTGCATTTTGCTAAATTAATTTCTTTTAATAAAAATTTAATTAATTTTAATGAATAAAATGGAGGGATTGGGTGCAAATTTAGATGATGGAGAATTATGGATTCCTTCTGATATTCTTCCAACTGATGAACTTCATCATCACAACCGTCCAATTGCTGCTGCTACTACTGTCATTCAAGATCCTAGCCGTCAGTTTCGTGACTTTAATTTGCTTCCTCATTCTCACTCTGTTTTTACTTCCTCTGTTTATCAGGTTTTCCCTCTTTTATCTTTTTTATTTGATTAATTTTGGGATTTTACCATTTTTTTTTTAATTTTTTGCTTAACTACCCGTCACTCTTTTTTTTAATTTTTTTTATAATAATTTATTTATGTTGGGATTAATGTTAATCAAGCTGATGTCATTGTTAACTTCAAGTAGTTCACTAAAAATAAAAAAATCTAAATTTTTCTAGTGTAGAATGGTTTTTTTTTAAATTTTATACTCGTATTATCGTATATGAGAAAAATTAATTATACTTCCTCTGTATCTACTCCGTAATAAAACTTAATTTGTGTGCATGTTTTAAAGAAGGCTATATAATTTATACGTTATGATTTAGTTGATTAAAGGTAAAAAAAACATAAACCAAATGCTCCCTCTATGTCTTTGCTACTGTTACGTTTGGTCTTCAACATACATCTTTGATTACGTATATATTAAATATAATTTAACAAAAACTGATATTTAAAAATTCATTTTAAAACGAATCTAACAACATCCAACATGATATGATTCGATTTCTTTATAAAAGTGTATTTTTGTGTTAAAAGTTGACTACCAAAAAAAATAATAATAAAAAAGCTTGATTTATTAAAAGTTTATTTAAAAAAATAGAAATTGATTTATTAAAAGTAATTTAACATACTAATAAGTGAAATAAAACTTTTTTTTTTTTGATGAGGAAATAAAGCTTAATTCATAGTTTTTTTTTTTTTTTTTTTTTTTTTTTTTTTTTTTTTTTTTTTTTTGAAACAAGACTTATATTTAACAACGGAAAGTAAATTTTATTAAATGTTACGAGTAACAATTTTTTTGGATGAAATAAGACTATGTGTCAACAATTTTCTCCTATCTTTTTGGACTCAATGTATAAGAAAATGGTTAATTTTATGTCTGTACCAAATCTCTTGTAACCTTGTACGAGGCAAAAATCTTGGTTTCGGTGGTGGCCAAGACAGAAGATAGTACGAGGATGACAAATCATAATTAAAATGACATCTATTTGGATATATAATAGGTGTGAATGTAATAATATAACAAAAATAATACAATTAGGTGAACATTTAAGAAATAATCATGTGTAGAATCCTGTAGATTTTATTTATTACATTACTTTCACAGTAAATTATCTAATGAGAACATGAAAAATTATGTGATTGATTATATCTACATAATAAAACATATAGTATCAAATGCGATTGCGATTTCAATGTGATTTTATTAGATTTATCTCAACATATACTATATTTTAAAACATAGTTCTTCAAGAACTTATAAATAATTGAATTACAAGTATTTGATTAATAATCATCATAAATAAATTAAACGTGTACTAAAAAACCCGAAATTATAGATTTTAGTGGCTGACAAAAAATGGACGAATGTTTGTATGAATTGCAGCAGTTAGGAGTGTATGGAGGAGTGGCACAGTATGCAGTAACTGCTCCGTCTCCTACTCCAAATGGGTGTTATGGACTGACAGTGGGTCCCATTGGAGTTGACCATGCTCACTTCAACTGTCATTCTGGTTCGACTTATTACCAAACTCCTCCTATGCTCGGGCCTCCACCTTACCCTCTTAACTCACCGGTTCAACCCTTAGTATGATTTTCTTAACCATGTTATATTATGTTATTTTAAAATAATTTTTCAATTAATTATTGTTTTAAGGTACAAATTCATCTTTCAAAAGGTTAATAAATGTTGTATGTCCATTTGATAAAAAAAACATCATATCATTAGTTATAATCTTCTGTTTCACAATCTGTGTATCATGTGTGTCACGTTTTTCTTTCTATTGATTGCACGCTACAACTACTTAGTCTCGTGTCCATCATGTTTAAAAAAAAATTGATATTATAAATGAATAACAATAAATTGGTGCGAATGAATATAATATTTTCTTTAGATGTAAATCATTAAAGTTAGTCAAAGTGAAAAATATGAATCATTTTTTTTTTGACACAAAAAAAAAATATGAATCAAAACTTTACAATTAAAGAAAAAAGGGAGAAAATATTTATTATTATGGGTACAAATTATAAGATTGACTTGACTAGTCTAAGGTACAACTGTACATATGCAATAACTCTAATAAATATGAGTATCATGTACAAATGAAATCTATGTCCAATTTTGTTCCCTGACAGCTATGTGTTTATCTGTATAATACTTGGGATTACAAATGTAATTAACTTCCATAATTTGTTTTACTCCTTACTAGTTTAAAAAGTGACATTAGGAGTTAATTATTTAAAATGTGACATTAGGAGTTATCAACAAGCATAAAAAAAAATAGATTAGAGGTAGTTTACCAATCTCTAATTTAAATAAGGTCATTTGTTTATATGATGAGTCTAATGTCAATCTCAAGGGTAACAACATTATCAGCTTTGATATTTGTATTAATTTTCTTTTCTCGTTTGATTTATAAAACGGACGTAACAGGAAGCTGAGCAGTTGACGGAGACAGGATTCGCTAGGAGTGGTATGCCTATGCATAGCCGGCAACCATATCCGATTCAAGCAAATGGTTTTGGGATCGGATATATGAATGGCACTAGCGGCACTTCTGCTGGCACTGGTGTCTTCATCCCCCGCTCCATCGCTTCCTTGGGTGCTGCTGCCTCCAACAATCGTATAAATCAGCAAAATAACAATCAAGGTGAGGTTATTCAATTCTTAGTTACCTTTCAATTTTTACCTAGTTAACCTATGATATACTCGGATCGAGCTACAAAAAAGAGTTTCAAGAGCTAAAATTCATATATATCAATCAATGTATAGTTGTATATTATGAAATTTGACGCGCTATTAATTGTTACTTTGTTACTCGTAAACCAAATATGCTCAATCTGACTCGAGCTCTAAAAATAGTGTGATGAGACTTGTCTAATGTCTACTAAACAAGTTTTCTTTAATTTTATTAAGTTTATATTATAGCCATAAAAGAGTTGGTCCAATCCAATATCAAAAGTTTAGAATAATAATCGTTACGTGGGGTATTAAATTTCTAATTAGTAATTACATTTGTAAACATGGAGTTAAGTACATCGATCTTTTTTTTTTTTTTTTTTCATGCATGTGCGACACTTAAATACTTCATGTCTTAAATACATATGAAATCTATTACGAATTTATGATTATGAAACTTGGTAATAATGGGTAGAAAATGTTTGAGAATAATAATAATGGTCTAAAGGCACAAGAACAAATAGTACTGTACTATATATTGCTAGAAGAGTTGTTACTTGTGCGTCAGGAAGACTACATGACAAAATGATGTATATCTATATATAGGAATAATACTTGATAAATCAGAAAGTACAATGTTTAGAAAGAATGAAGTAAATAATACATGATAAATCAGAAAGTGATTACAATGCTTCGTACTTTGTTGTTTGTTCTTGTAGCCGACCTTAATGTTGACATGATATTACTACCATACTCCATACGGTGAATGCAGTGATAAATAGATCGAGTAAAAGGATTAACAATTATATGTTGTCGTCGTAATAACGTATGTCTTTTAATTTGGATTATGTTACAATAGTCATCATGAAAATAAACTAAAATAATACGGTGATACATAGTAGTACATGTACTTTATATTTCATTATCCCAAGAACTATTCCATCATTATCAATAATAAATTAAATTAGAAGCATTGGTGTATTATTATCTTAATAAATTAGTCTCTATATCAATTCTGAACTCTATTTATTTTTTTTTATAGGGTTCAAAATAGAGGTGATACCAAAGAAAGGAGGAGCCAAGAAGCATGAGAAAAGGAAGAAAGTAGAGAAAAATAACGGGTATGACTATCAACCAATTGCTGCTTCTGAAGTGGTACTGCCAAAAAAATGGAGCTACTAAAGACATTGTTATGAGCAAGCCGAGGGACGGAAGGAGTAGTAATTAATATTGATTGTACTATTACTTGTATCTTACTTGTAATAGAGAGTGATGGCTCACTTTTGTTGTCACCCTTGGCTTGAAACATAAATGTTGATACTTTGGTAGACTATTGAATAAATGCTCCATTTTATATGGAGTTTATCTATAGTTTTCGGTGTTTATGCTTGTGTATCTTTTGATCCTGAAGCGCCTTGCTATGTTAGGATGCTTAATGAACTAGTCATGCCAGTTAAGAATTTCAAAACTATCACAAGGATTTAGTCAGAACTTGAGCTAGCTAGTTGGATCCCTAGGCATGCCTAAGAAATGAGCAAGAAAATACTATTGACTACAAGTCTACAATTAAGCGAACTCTAGGTGTACGGTGCACGTACCCGGGCCCCAAGTAATCTTCTCTTCCTATTATCCCGGAGTATAATCTACATAGTTTGATTTTTACGCTTGACAATAAATGATGTTGACCATGAATGGATGCTTTTATGGTACTCATCCTTTAAGTGACTACCATTATACTAAATTTTTACTGGCTGATTTTGATTTATGTTTTAATGTCAAAACTAATTATAAATAATTTATCTAATTTTAAAAAATTCATTTATTAAATTTGAAATAATTTTGGATTTTTAATTTTCCTAATTAATTTACAGTTTTCAGTTTTTATTATTACTAAAATTTATAATAATTCATAAGTTAATTATGAAAAAATATATTAAAAAAATAAAAAATAAAAATTGCTACTCGATTATGTTTCATTTGTACCGTTCATATAACCATTCAATGCATTGCTTGGGTCCAAAAACTTCTACTCAGTGGAGCCGGGGGGGTGCTGGTGGAGGTGGCCCGACGACCAAACCGATTAATTGAGTTTGAGGTGGTCCGATCCATTTTTTAGGTCCAGATCGATTTATGAACACCCCTAATTATAAGGGTATGTTTCAAAAATATTAGTTTTATAGGGGTTACACGGTTAATGTTATAGGTTAGTAAGGGTGTGTTATATTTGGTTGATTTTCACTCATTTGAAATTATCAACGCTTAATTGAACTTATTGCAACTTATCTGAACTTAACTTAACTTATTTGAACTTATTAAAACTTATTTTAATTGTAATTTAAACTGAATTGGGTAGCCGTTATCAGAACTTATTTTTCCAGAACTGAACTATCTGATTTATTAGACCTGAATAAGTGAAAATAAGGTGTATATATAAAATGGAGCATCTGGGTGTATAAAAATATCTAAAAAAAACTCCCTCAAAAGATAGGGTTGCGCTCCCTCGCGAGAAACGACCGATCTCCATTGTTTCGATTGTGCAGATCTCCGGTGATATGGCGGATGAACTAGTTAAGAAATACTCCTCTCTACGAATGGAAGAGGAGGAAGGAAACTTGATTGATCTAGGTAATGTGGAAAGCAAGGAATCTGACAAAAACCTAGCCTTGCTTTTGGTGGGACAATTGTGTACTTCTAGACCATACAATATTGAGGCGTTTAAACAGACGATGATGAAGGTTTGGGCGCCGAAGGAGGGGATGATTGTTAGGGTTTTAAGCCCTAATTTATATGTTTCCAATTCTTCCATTGGCGTGATAAGGAGAAGGTTCTTAAGGGCAAACCTTGATGTTGGGATAACCATTTACTTGTCCTTAATGAATCTGTGGTGATGAACAGCCGGACCAGGTGGATTTAAAGCTTTCACCATTCTGGATTAGGGTTAGTAAATTGCCCTTTAATTGTAGATCGAATGATTATCTCAAAGCCCTTGCTACTGGACTTGTTGAAGTGATGGACATAGAAGACGATCTTCTGGGACTGAATTGCTTTAGAAGGATTCGAGTCTTGATCGATGTGACAAAACTGTTGCGTAGGTATCAATGGGTGAAGGATAGTAGAGGTAATAAATTTAAGGTGGAATTTAAGTACGAGAGACTGCCGTATTTTTGCTTCGCTTGTGGTGTCATAGGCCACTCCGAGAAGGACTGCGAGGAAGAGAAGGAGAGTTAGTTTGGGTGAAGTTTGTACCTTCGAGCCTCACCTAGAAAGGGTTATGCGAAGGAGATGGAAGAGGTCTCTCTGAAGGGTAGGAGGAAGCTTTTTGTCACAAAAGAAGGGGAAGCGAGTGAGGAGCAGCAGCTTGAACATGAGAATGCCTTAGCCATTGCATTAAATAGTGACTTGAGTGGAGAGAAAAAAGGTCTCGAGGGGGTAGTTGGGAGTGTGATTTCTGATCAGAGAGGGTTGGAGAAAGCAAAAGATAATACTTTGCTTTCTTTTACCTTTAGTGCTACTAAAGAAGCTTCAATTGCTCCAACTAAAAAGAAAGCGTGGGAAAGAAATAGAGAAGGGGATGAGGAGGGATGAAGGAGGGGGGAAAGAGATTAATCAAAAAAGAAGGGTGGAGGAGGTTTTGGCAGAATCTGTGGGAGGTTAAAATTGTAATGAGGTTAAAATTGATATTGCCGGGAATTGTGTCCGAAATCTCAGAGTGTGTTTGTTCCAGGCAGATTAATTTTTGATAATGCTCTTATTGCTATGGAGTTGTTCCCTACAATGAAAAAGAGAAGTAAGGCCAGAAAGGGTACGATTGCTTTGAAACTTGATATGAGTAAGGCCTATAACAGGGTAGAATGGGGGTTTCTGAAGAAATTGTTACTCACTATGGGTTTCGACGGGAGATGGGTGAATTTGATTATGAGCTGTGTATCCTCAGTGAAATACTATTTTATTATAAATGGAAGAGTATGTGGTGATGTGACTCCTACTAGGGGTCTACGTCAGGGGGATTCTCTATCCCCGTATCTCTTTATTCTGGTTGTAGATGCCCTATCTTTAATGTTGAAGAATAAAGTGATGAATGGAGAGTTACATGGATCTAGAGCCAGTCACAGGGGTCCGATAATATCTCATCTTCTTTTTGCGGATGATAGTCTTCTATTTGCTAGAGCTTACTGAAGGAGTTATGTCTTCGATAAGTGCAATTACTAGATATATCAAGGATCACTATTATGGAGATAATAAGTTCATTTTATAGGGTCGTCAATATCTGTTGCTAGATACGATAATTGATTTTCGGGTTAGTTAAATAGCCCAAAGCCTTATAGAATGGATCCTATGAGGTCACACAACAAGGGTATTGGGTTAAACAAGTAAGAGGCCCATTAATGGGCCTCATGAGATTATGACATACCATGTAGAGTGTTGGGCTAGAGTAGTGTGTTTAGGATAAGGGTTTTGGGCTTTTGACATAGGCTCTTATTTAGAGATGTGATCTATAAATAAGATCCATGCCTAGGGTTGCAAGTAAGCAGTAACAATCAACATACAATAGATTGTGAAAGAAGCAACTAAGTCCCAAACCCTAAACACTCTCCTCACCTCACGGCCCTCCCCTCTCCCCTTCACGTCCGTACGTGCGGTGCCCCTCATGGTGGCTCGTGGTGTTCGTCGTGGTGGTTCATGGTTAGCTCGTGTCTCTCTTCTCCGTTGAAGGTTGATTGAAGCGTTCAGTCACGACTAACTAGCATTAGTGGAGGTTTAACTTGTGCCCGTGGACCAAGTAGAGGAATCATGCTTGGGGTTCTTTATCTCCCATTGTTCTTGCTCGATCGCACGTGGAATCACGCTTCAAAGGTACAATTATGTGTTCTTTATGTGTTATGCAAAGATCCTTGGATTAGGTATTGTATGAATAGGATTCATGTTTATTTCCGCTGCGTAGTACCTATAAACCCCTACACTTACCAACAGGAATGCCAAAAAATTGTTGATATACTCAACAAATATGCAACAACATCCGGTCAGAACATTAACTATAAGAAGTCGGAGCCTCGGAGGTGTCCTTTAGAAAAGGTGTCAGACATGAGCAGAGAGAGGATTTGATGAATGTTTTGCATATGCGACAGAGGGATAGACATGAGAAGTACCTTGGCATTCCAACAGCTCCAGGGAGATCGAAAAGAGTAGTGTTCGAGGATTTACTTGATCGAATCTGGAAGAAGCTTCAAGGTTGGAAAGAAAAACTCCTTTCTAGAGCCGGTAAAGAGGTGCTCCTAAAATCTGTAATTCAAGCCATCCCAACTTATTTGATGGGAGTATATAAGTTGCTATGTTCTGATGCCATGGCACGATTTTTTTGGGGTAGTTCGGATACTCGTCGGAAGACACATTGGAGGAGTTGGAGTTCTCTTTGTAATCCCAAGTGCTTAGGAGGTATGGGGTTTAGGGACCTAAGTGTGTTTAATGATGCTCTTTTGGGTCTTCAAGCTAAGCTTGGAGATTGGTGAATAATGAAAGTTCACTCCTAAGCAAAGTCATGAAGGCGAAATATTATTCGAATTGTTCTTTTCTCGAGGCTTCACTTGGGTATGCTTGGAGCTACTCGTGGAAAAGTGTGTGGAGCGCAAAATCTATGGTAAAGGAAGGGGTTATTTGGCGAATCAGGACAGGTACTCAAGTCAATATATGGCATGATATGTGGGTTGCGGATGAGAATGGCAGGTTTGTTACTTCGGCCGAATGCAGTGAAGTTTCACAGGTTTGTGACCTAGTAAATTGTGAGAGTATGGAGTGGAACGTTGAGTTGGTTTCTCGTATTTTTAATGCGAGGGATCAAAGGTGCATCCTAGCACTGCCATTAAGCTCAAGGAAATCCAAAAGATTCCTTGACATGGGCTTTCTCACAAGATGGTTTGTACTCAACCGAAAATGCATATATGTTGGGGGAAAGGCTGCAATTTTGATGATTTTCATCAAGTGTGGGTTTTTATTTGGAGCCTAGAGGTCTCACCTAAGGTGCGCACATGATTGATGAAGCTTGTTGTCTGTGGTGTGGGGAGGTGGAAACGAGTGTGCATGCCATATTCGAGTGTATGCGGGTAAAGGAGCTATGGGAAGACAGTGGCTGCTCCTCTCTTCTTGCAAATTGCGCTGGTGATCCTTGTGAAATAGTCCTTAGTTGGAAGACTGCAAGTGCAAAGATTCAACAGAAGACTGCTTATCTAGCTTGGTGCGTGTGGAGTGACAGAAATAAGAAGGTGTTTGAAGGTGATTAGACACCAAATGGAGTGCTAGTGGCTAGAGTTGGAAGACTTGTTGAGGAATTTGGGCAATATAGCA